GATCACGCAGCAACCTGTACATGTGCCATACCACCCCTGAGCATGTGGCCCCTGCTGGCTGTCATACAGCGGCCTTGGCCTGTTACCCATATGCATGTTTGTATGAAGGCACATGACATGCTCCTGACCCCAGGGTAGGACACTACACAATGCCCTCCCTTCAGAAGTCCCCTCTACACAGAGGAAGGGGACATCTTCCTCTCCTCACTCCCACACTATATACAGCACAGGGGCATGGGTGCAGTCCTGGGCCAGCTCCCACTCCCAGGGATAGCAGGACATGTGGAACATGGCCTGTGCGCAAGCACATCGGCTCCGATGGTGCAGAAACCTGCCGTCCTTGCCTTGCAGAGGGGGACTGGCTTCACCCATTGTGTCCCCAGGGATAACTGACCACTTCTCTTGTTTCTCCACAGCCGCAGCAGCTGCGAGTGCACAGCGCACCCCCCCCCCCCCAGGACATTCTCCCACACCTGGGCACTCATCAGGAGAACCCGTAACCAGGAGTACCACCAGCGGCAGCACCACTGGATACTGCGAGGCCAGCACCGCACCCTGGACTACTGGGTGCATGAAGACTTGCAGCTCCGATGGGAAAGCTGGCAGGAGCTGCTTGCCCATGGCTGTGCCATGTGTGACCACCTGCAGACCCTGGTGCACAGATTGGTGCCTCCTGCCGCTTCAGCCCCTGGTGCCTCCCCAGCTACCGCTCCTCTTCCCACTCCTGCTCCCCCTCCCACATCTTCCTTCCCACCCTCTCCTCCACCCACCCCGGGGATGCCCTCCCATGTGGGTGGAGGAGAGGACCCTGAGCTTCTCCTCCCCTTCCTCTCTACCCCAGTTTTGTTCAATAAAGAGAGTTTGTTTTCTTCGACACATGTGTCTTTATTTTACATCGGGAAGGGGGATTAGAGAGGGGTAAGTGGAAGGATGTGAGGGTGGAATGAGGCACAAGCCCCCAGTGGGGTGCTTTGTTGTCCCTCAGCGAGGAAGGGAAGCAAGCAGGGAAACCTGAGATCTGTCTGTCTGGGAGGGTCCCTTTAAGCAGAGGCCTCAGGTAGCTTCAGGTAGCAGCCACACAAGGTAACTCCTGATCTGATGCTCTGCTGGATCTGGTTCCTTAAATGCGATTCAGCCTGCACACAAAACGCTGCCACCACATGTGGAATATTCCGCTCAGAGAGGTCCAGGCAGGCGAGGAGGCATCTAAAACAGGCCTTCAGTCAGCCAAAGGCACCTTCCACCACAATGCGGGCCCTGCCGAGCCTGGCATTAAAGGCCTGTCGGGAGGGATTGAGGTGTCCCATGTAGGGCTTCATGAGCCAGGGTTGTAGGGGATAGGCCACATCCCCCACCAGGCATACAGGCATGTCCACATCTCCAACCCTGATGTGGCGGTCGGGGAAGAAAGTCCTGGCATGCAGCCTCTAGCACATGGAGGAGTTGTGGTAAACCCACGCGTCGTGTGCTTTGTCGGACCATCCCATGTTAGGGTACGTCTACACTGCATCCCTAGTTCGAACTTAATTTCCATGAAGTGGCCCTGGTGGTCAGACACAGCCTGCAGGATGATGAAGAAGTATCCCTTCCGGTTTATATACAGGGAGGCCTGGTGTTCCGGGACACAGATGGGGATGTGCGTCCCGTCAATTGCCCCCCACAGTTGGGGAAGCCTAGGCCGCCAAACCCCTCAATCACCGCGTCCACATCAGTGAGGCAGATGACTCTGCAGAGCAGCACTCTGTTGATGGCCTTGATCACCTGCAGAAGGACACACAAAACTGAGAGTCACTGGGGTGCCAGGGTGGCTGAGAGTGCCCCCTCCCTGCCACTGCCCCGCTCCCCCATTCCCCAGGAGCAACCCACTCTGTAATCCTGGCCACCACGGGCAGTCCTTAGTGTGGGCGGGACAGAACAAACCCTCCCAGGGAGGGGACTTTCACCACCTCCCCCCCTTTTCCCTAAGGCAGCCCATACCCTTCTTACACCTTTCCCTCCTGGCACAGTGGCAGAGACTGCCATACCTGCATGAGCACTGCTCTGATGGTGGATCTCCCCCTGACTAACTGGTTCCCCACGGATCAGTAGCTATCCAGCGTGGGGAGCTTCCAAAGGGCGATGGCCACATGCTTGTGGAGGGGAATGGCAGACCTCATGTGTGTGTCCCGTTGCTGCAGAGCAGGGGCAAGCCACTCCCAGAGCTCCATGAAGGTGTCCTTCTTCATCCTAAAGTTCTGGGTCTATTGTTAGTCTCCCCAGTGCTCCAGGACGATGTGGTTCCACCAGTTGGTGGTGTCCAGATGCCAGATGCGGCAGGGCACGCTGGCATCCAGGAGCTGCAGCTGCTCCTCCACATACCCCAGGAGGGTCCAGATAACGGCCTGGTGGTTGGGCTGCAGCAGATGCTGTGAGGCAGCCTGCAGAAACTGCTGCCAAGCTTGCAGCAACACATGCAAAAGAAGCACAAGAGTGCCCAGGGGCAGCTCCGGCTCCATGCTGGAGAGTGCTGTGGTGTCCCAAGTGAGGGCAACCAGAGCACACATAGAAAAAAATGCTTTGCTGTCTCTTATCAAGGTAGGCAGGCAAGCAGGGAAACCTGAGAACTGGCTATCCAGGGCAGATCCCTTTAAGCACAGGTCTCAGATAGTCTCAGGCCGATGCCCTGCCGGAAGTGGTTTCGGCTGGCTTTAAATGCGATTCAGCATCCAATCAGTGTGGACGCACTATTTCGAAATAGCAAAAGGCTATTTTGAAATGCGTTTTGTGTGTAGACTTGTTTTTTTTGAAATATCTTATTTTGAAGTAACTATTTCGAAATTAGATATTTCGAAATAACGATGTAGTGTAGATGTACCCTCAGAGGCTTTTTTGAAATATGGCCTATCTACATAGGGCCAAATTTTGGAAAAACTCCTCTTTCAGAACAGCCCTTATTCTTCTCACCGAGAGGAATACAGCAATGCTGGAAGAACACGTCCGCTTTTTTGGAAACTGTTCCAAAAAAGCGGATACGTTCCTTGGATGTGGCAGAGTTTTTCCGGGTTACTGGAGGTAGTCTAGACATAGCCTGAGATAAAGAAGTATCAGTCATGTGGGCCAAGGTTTCCCATCACTGATCTAAAAGGTGCCAGAGCAAAAGCTGAATGAATGAGAATCAATCGCTTGATAAAATGCTCTGTTCTGTTCTCTGAAGCATTTGGAACCAGCCATTTCAGAGGACAGAACTCTGGACTAGATAGTCCTTTAGTGTGACCCCATATGATTATTCTTATGTTCTTATACAAAGCAATAGAAACTGACAGCCTTTATGTATAAATAAGCCCAGTGTATACATAATTACAGTGAAATCTTCTGTGTACTGCCGCCACTAGCATCATTTTACCCAACTGAGAAACTACATCTAGAAATGAGAAAGTAGTTCAAACCCCATGCCGATTTCTGCTTTGGATTACGGTTGCTAGGTAGGATGATAATTAGCATCAATTATGATACTTCAGTGAGAACTGGACTGAGACTACGTGCTAATTTCAGATAGGTCATGGAAAAGATATCAGATATTCGCTACATTCAGTCACTTTCAATCCAGTATGGACTGTAAGAAGTGACAGATTCTGAATTCTAACTGTGTATTTTTATGGATTTTAAGGCAGTATAGGTTAAACCTAAAAGATGCCAGTACTGGATATAAATCTGCTATAAGAGTTCTGTTCTGCAGACAGTTACTACTGGGCATAGTGCTTACTGTTGTGACGTGTCTCCCTGACTGCAAAATAGGGACAGGTATATTTGTGGAAGGAGTTCAGTGGAAGTTTGCCTTTTTTACAGCAGTGCTGAACTTGACCTCTTGGGTGATTTTTGATGTCTTACTCGTAACAAAGTCAAAAGTGAATTTCCTTTGAAATTTAAATGATAAAAATTACAAATATATTCTAAAATAAAATATTTTTATATTCAGTTTTTCAGTTCTCCATGCATGTTGCCCTAGCCCAAATATTCATTAGCCATATATAATAATCTGTACATTATTTGGTTTGAAATTAAATGAGCAAATGTACCATGCACAATATTGTTAATTGACACTGTATATAGATGTTATGATGTTGCTCCATTTTTCAGCACTTGCTAATGTTAGTATTTCCAGTGTCTTATATGGCAACCAACATTGACACCACTTTGCCATGTCACAAGTATTATTTTGTTACACAACCCTTTAAATGATGCTATAGGTTAACAACAATTAATGTAACAGTAGCACTGATGATTCTAGCAGTAATAGAATCATGTACTTATATTTTAGATTGCATAGATATTAAATCTGCAAAATCTTTAGTATTTGGATTCATAGCAGCAATAGCCAACATCCTCTATTGACATTTCTCTTTTGTATTAGAATTGCACTACGCTAGAGGATTGGGCTGAGGTGATGAAACTTCTTTGAAATATAGATGCACCTCATGCATGCACACACATGTACCTATAATAAATTGTAGTTGCAAGTTTCTGTTGGAAGCTCATAAAGGGGCAAAACCAAGAGGATTGCAAGTAGGGCTGGCTGGGAATTAGAACATCCATTCTGTAGGAAATGCCAACATTTTACATTTTTTGTGTTCCAAATTGAAGAAAAAACTAAACTTTGAAGTTTCCTATCAAATGAAAACCACCAAATATGGCTTGGAACTTATCAAACATTTCATTTTGATAAAATTGAATCACTTCATTTAAAAACATGTTCATGTAATAACAAAATGTTTCATTTCATCTTTTCATTTTGACTCATTTTAGACTTAATATTAAAACATTAATGTGCATACCTATATTGCATTCTTTTATATTACATATAATTCCAAGTCTGGTTAGTCTTTCCCCATGTCTTCATGCTATAGTTGGATAAGCATTGCTATAGAGAGAGTTTTATTGTCTATATACATGTATGTATAACGTGTATATATAACTTGTAAGTATAACTTCTCAGTATTATGACCCTGCCTACAGAGGAAATCTAATGTACATCCTCCCTGAGTGTCACCACACTGAAGAACCTTGCAGCATCTTTGAAAAAAGCATAGTCATAATTCTGAGGCACATGCATCCTAAATCTACAACTTAAAAATATGAAAATCTACATTATAAGAGCAATAATCATGATTTGGATTAATTCTTTGCCATTGTAAATTATAGTCACGGTCTGATTATGGAAAAAGGCATTATAGGCTAATGGAAATGGCTTTTATAGTACAGTAAAATTGATTAAGCAATTGAATAATTATTAATAGTATAGAATCCATTTAATCTCCCATTTTCATCTGTTCCTCCTGGTGCTGCCCTGTAACAGTAGCAATGCAAATAGAAGGATCTTCTAAGTAACTAAAGCAGATATATGTGAAGGATGCTGAACTTCATTGTTGTTAATGCTGAATGTTCACAGTTGCAAACAAATTATTTGGGCATAATTAACAGTTAATATAAAAGAGAGTTAATCATGTGGCTGTTCTCTGTTTAATGTTTCTTGTAGTCAGTGAAATACAGTGCAAGTCATCAACCTCCATGTAGACCTTCAGCAAAATCAGAAAAAAGTCCCAAACCAGCTGATGGGAAAGCGCAGTCAGTTTTTTATGCCAAAGAGAGCAAAGAAGGCAAGAAGGCAAGACCTGAAAGGGCTACACCCCTACCATCTGATAAGGGTAACGTGAAATACTGCTGCTGTTGTGAAAGGCAACAGTAGTGTTTTAAGAATTTTATTTTGATGAACTATTTAATTTTTATCTTGTTTAAGTCTATAGAGTGGTTGCTGAAATGTTTCCATTACATATAATGTATGAGAAATAAAAATATATATTGTTCCTTCAGAAGTACAGAGAAGAGACACAACCTAAAATTTTAAAATGTAGGTGCATATAGACTGGCTTCTTAATCCATAATTTCTTCACTACGTCCAAATCATTTGGTCAGCTATTTTAAAAAGGATTATGGTGTACATAACAGAGTAAAAAACATCTATTTATAATATTTATATTACTTTTTTTAATACAAAATTATACTTTAGGAAATAAACATAGTGGCTGTGTCTAGACTGGCAAGTTTTTCCGCAAAATCAAATGATTTTGCGGAAAAAGTTGTCAGCTGTCTACACTGGCCACTTGAATTTCCGGAAAAGCACTGACAATCTCATGTAAGATCGTCGGTGCTTTTCTGGAAATACTATGCTGCTCCCGTTTGGGCAAAAGTCTTTTTCCGAAAAACGTTTGCACAAAAGGGCCAGTGTAAACAGCACAGTAGTGTTTTCCGCAAAAAAGCCCCGATCGCGAAAATGGCAATCGGGGCTTTTTTGTGGAAAACCGCGTCTAGATTGGCCACGGATGCTTTTCCGCAAAAAGTGCTTTTGCGGAAAAGCATCCTGCCAATCTGGACGTGCTTTTCCGAAAATGCTTTTAATGGAAAACTTTTCCATTAAAAGCATTTTCGGAAAATCATGTCAGTGTAGATGTAGGCAGTATGTATATGGTATATCTACCATGTATATTTGTATGTATATTCTAAACCTTTCTTAGATAGTGAGTTCATTAGATGGGAGTGAACGGGGAGAAAGGGAGGTGCGGGTGGTCAGGAACCCAGCTATTGGGATTGAAGTGGGAGGCTAAGGCCTGAGTTGTAGGGGACTTGAGAACATAGTGTGAGGTCAGTCTAGAGGGTCAAGGCCACAAGCAGCAGTTTGTACTAGTGTCATGCCATAGGATCAGGTTCTAGGTGAGGTCAATGAACCTGCCAAATTAGGGTTAGTAGAATCAAGGCATGGCAAGGCATTAGAAGTAGAGCAGGGGACCAGAAACAGAGGTGCCAGAAGCAGAGCTGGGGTGTGAGATCAGGTATCAAGAACAGGGTTAGAGTCAGGAACCAGGAGCAAAGAAAGGCATCAGGAGTGTGCAGCAGAATCTATTTGCAGCAGCAAGCCAGGGAAGGTCCCAAGTAGTTGCACAGAGAGCTTCAAGATGTTTACCCTTGGCCTTAAATAGCGTTCTTGGGCCAATGAGGCAATAAAGCAGGTACTGTCAATCAGGACTTCTGTAGGTGGGATATCCACTATGCCCGAACCGATAGGACTCATAATCTTCTGTTTCCTGCTTCACTAGTGCTGTTAGGTAGTAATGTGGATGGAACAGAGCCCCAGCTCCTCACTTGCCTATCTCTTTTTATATGGAAGTTTCTTCTACACCCTTCTCAGTATATTAGAGACTGTGTTTACCTGTCTACTTATATTTATATGTCACCTAGCACAAAAAGTCTAATCAGGGTCTCTACATACTTTAATATTAAAGTATACAAATTGCTGCTCTTCATTCTGCTTCTAACTTTTGAATGTGCAGTCTTGCTATTTGCCCTTTACTCTTCTAAGTCACGAAGACTGATAATTTAGCATTTTTAATCTGTTTCTTTAATAGTTTTAATTTACTGAACATTAATATTTGTGCTGATACATAACCCTTTCTTGGCCAAATGTGCTGCACCATGCTTCCTAGTAAGTCCTTTCAGGCAAAAATAAAATATTTCAACAGGGATACATTTTTTACTTTGAAAAAAATTAGCTTGTACAACTTTTGGAAATAAAACCAAAATTACTGTTTTTCATATTATAGAATTGATTCTTTATTTACTAAGAAAAATAACTACTTTTAATAATCCTAATTTGGTGAACAAGGAACTGCGACATGTTCATGGAGGTGTACAAGCAGTATTTTATAATTGATGCTTTCCATTACTTTGCAGCACCAAGTATTTTTAAAGCTGGTAAACCCCGGGGAGAAGTTCAAGGGGCAGCAGAGGTACAAGAAGACAAAAATCTGAAAGTGGAGATGCCCATCGATCAGGTAAATTCAAGGCAGATTTCTTTCCCTCTAATAAATTAATTAGTATAAAATATTCTTGGCCCTTTAAAATAGAGAGAAAGAATTCAATTAGTATAGTCTCTCCCTCCCTCCTTCTCTCTTTGACAGGAATAAGGTAGAAATAGATTTCTTTGAGTCTCTGGACAAAGCAACCCTTTATTTAAGTTAACTATAGGTGGGACCTCCCTGGTCCGGCACCCTTAGGAGCTGACCTGCCACAAATGAGGAGATTTGCTGTACCAGGAAGGGTCCCTCCCCTGCTGGCCCATGCTAAACTGCTGTCCCTTCCCTCCCTGTCCTCTGCCCTCCCAGCACCCAGTTCCCTCTCCCCTGCCTCCAGCCACAGAACTCTGTCCCCATAAAATGTATAATTATAAATGCTTCATTTTAGATTTAAATAGCATGAATAAAAAACAGACCATTTATTTCATAATGATAAACACGTGATTTTAATTTTATATATCGCATAATTTAAAAATAAACTGTTTATCAGAGTGTGTAAGTAAGACCTGGGGATAGCAAGTGATGGACAGGAAGAGAATAGAGAGGGCGGGGCTTCATTGAAGGGGCGGGGCGGTAGATCTTTGCCTGTTCTGAGATTTAAAAAGTGATCTTGGGTATAAAAAGATTGGAGACCACTGGTCTAGTGGGTCTGTGATTACACTGAACACCCTGGGATTTGAACTCTGGGTCCCTGTTTGAACTCAGGTCCCAGCTTAACTCAGGCTTAGACCCCCTCTAGAGTCATGGGACCCTAAGTCTGAGCCCTGCATTTTCACGGTTTATGTGTAGATAGGAGTTACGCTTGACCCTGAATTTGAATCCATGGTTTACACTGTAGTTCTGGGTTCGATTTCCTTCAGATTACATGGGTAAATACCACCTGACCGTGGTTGCTTATTACTGTTTAATGCAATAGATTTCAAACTACGGGTTGTGACCCAGTACTGGGTCATGGAATGTCAGGCTCTGGGTCTGATTGCTGCAGGGAGATCAGGTGACCAGTGGGAGCGCTAAAGCAGGCTACTGTCGGCTCAGCTCCTAGCTGGGGAAGGCAGGATGAGGAAGAGAATGCACAAGGCTCCATGCACTGTCCCTGCCCCAAGCACTAGCTCAGCACTCCCATAGGCAGGGAACCTGCTGATGGCTGCTTATGGGGTGCAGCATGGTCTGTGGTGCCGGGAGAGGTAGGAAGCCTGCCTTAGCATCCCTGCTGCACTGCTGACAAGGAGCTGCTCAAGGTAAGCCCCTCCTGCCTTAGCCCTGACACATTCCCAAACCTGGAGCCCCCTCCCTACACTCCTCCTCAGACCACACCTCAGTCAAATTATGCTGGGTCACGGGCATCAACAATTTTGTTCAACTGGGTCATGAGAAAAAAAAGTTTGAAAACCACTGGTTTAATGTATCAGTTTGTACCAACATCTCCCTCTAACACAGCGGTTCCCAACTGTTTCCAGATGGGGACCCATTCTGACAATTCAGGAAGATTTGGTGATCCAAGGTAATTAAAAAATCGGGGGAGGAGGAAGGGCAGCGCCACCTGGGGAGACACTTGGTGTCCCTTTTGAAATGTAATGGCGACCCACATTTGGGTCCCAACCCATATGTTGGGAAACCCTGCTCTTTTCAGTCTAGGACATCTCCTCAGATTTGTCACCTAAAAAAAATGAAGTGAAGACTGATGCAAAAAATCATTTTCTTCTCTTCAGTGACCCTGCCTTCTCTGAGTGCTCGTTAAGCACCTTGATTGTCCAGGTGCTGATTGTATGGTACACTTCCTGCTTCTCATGTACTTAAAAAATGGTTAGTTTTTGTGTCTCTTGCTACTTACTCTTTGGCCTATCTAATTGTACTTTTACACTTGTCTTGCCAGAGTTAATGTTCTTTTCTATTTAACTCAGTAGGATTTAACGTTTAACTTTTAAAGGATGTCTTTTGTTTTAACCACTTCTTTCAGCCATGATGTTACTTTTTTTGGTCTTCTCTTACTGGCTGTGTCTACACTGGGCCACTTATTCCGGAAAAGCAGCTGCTTTTCCGGAATAAGTGGCCCAGTGTAGACACAGCCAGTAAGAGAAGACCAAAAAAAGTAACATCATGGCTGAAAGAAGTGGTTAAAACAAAAGACATCCTTTAAAAGTTAAACGTTAAATCCTACTGAGTTAAATAGAAAAGAACATTAACTCTGGCAAGACAAGTGTAAAAGTACAATTAGATAGGCCAAAGAGTAAGTAGCAAGAGACACAAAAACTAACCATTTTTTAAGTACATGAGAAGCAGGAAGTGTACCATACAATCAGCACCTGGACAATCAAGGTGCTTAACGAGCACTCAGAGAAGGCAGGGTCACTGAAGAGAAGAAAATGATTTTTTGCATCAGTCTTCACTTCATTTTTTTTAGGTGACAAATCTGAGGAGATGTCCTAGACTGAAAAGAGCAGGGTTTCCCAACATATGGGTTGGGACCCAAATGTGGGTCGCCATTACATTTCAAAAGGGACACCAAGTGTCTCCCCAGGTGGCGCTGCCCTTCCTCCTCCCCCGATTTTTTAATTACCTTGGATCACCAAATCTTCCTGAATTGTCAGAATGGGTCCCCATCTGGAAACAGTTGGGAACCGCTGTGTTAGAGGGAGATGTTGGTACAAACTGATACATTAAACCAGTGGTTTTCAAACTTTTTTTTCTCATGACCCAGTTGAACAAAATTGTTGATGCCCGTGACCCAGCATAATTTGACTGAGGTGTGGTCTGAGGAGGAGTGTAGGGAGGGGGCTCCAGGTTTGGGAATGTGTCAGGGCTAAGGCAGGAGGGGCTTACCTTGAGCAGCTCCTTGTCAGCAGTGCAGCAGGGATGCTAAGGCAGGCTTCCTACCTCTCCCGGCACCACAGACCATGCTGCACCCCATCAGCAGCCATCAGCAGGTTCCCTGCCTATGGGAGTGCTGAGCTAGTGCTTGGGGCAGGGACAGTGCATGGAGCCTTGTGCATTCTCTTCCTCATCCTGCCTTCCCCAGCTAGGAGCTGAGCCGACAGTAGCCTGCTTTAGCGCTCCCACTGGTCACCTGATCTCCCTGCAGCAATCAGACCCAGAGCCTGACATTCCATGACCCAGTACTGGGTCACAACCCGTAGTTTGAAATCTATTGCATTAAACAGTAATAAGCAACCACGGTCAGGTGGTATTTACCCATGTAATCTGAAGGAAATCGAACCCAGAACTACAGTGTAAACCATGGATTCAAATTCAGGGTCAAGCGTAACTCCTATCTACACATAAACCGTGAAAATGCAGGGCTCAGACTTAGGGTCCCATGACTCTAGAGGGGGTCTAAGCCTGAGTTAAGCTGGGACCTGAGTTCAAACAGGGACCCAGAGTTCAAATCCCAGGGTGTTCAGTGTAATCACAGACCCACTAGACCAGTGGTCTCCAATCTTTTTATACCCAAGATCACTTTTTAAATCTCAGAACAGGCAAAGATCTACCGCCCCGCCCCTTCAATGAAGCCCCGCCCTCTCTATTCTCTTCCTGTCCATCACTTGCTATCCCCAGGTCTTACTTACACACTCTGATAAACAGTTTATTTTTAAATTATGCGATATATAAAATTAAAATCACGTGTTTATCATTATGAAATAAATGGTCTGTTTTTTATTCATGCTATTTAAATCTAAAATGAAGCATTTATAATTATACATTTTATGGGGACAGAGTTCTGTGGCTGGAGGCAGGGGAGAGGGAACTGGGTGCTGGGAGGGCAGAGGACAGGGAGGGAAGGGACAGCAGTTTAGCATGGGCCAGCAGGGGAGGGACCCTTCCTGGTACAGCAAATCTCCTCATTTGTGGCAGGTCAGCTCCTAAGGGTGCCGGACCAGGGAGGTCCCACCTATAGTTAACTTAAATAAAGGGTTGCTTTGTCCAGAGACTCAAAGAAATCTATTTCTACCTTATTCCTGTCAAAGAGAGAAGGAGGGAGGGAGAGACTATACTAATTGAATTCTTTCTCTCTATTTTAAAGGGCCAAGAATATTTTATACTAATTAATTTATTAGAGGGAAAGAAATCTGCCTTGAATTTACCTGATCGATGGGCATCTCCACTTTCAGATTTTTGTCTTCTTGTACCTCTGCTGCCCCTTGAACTTCTCCCCGGGGTTTACCAGCTTTAAAAATACTTGGTGCTGCAAAGTAATGGAAAGCATCAATTATAAAATACTGCTTGTACACCTCCATGAACATGTCGCAGTTCCTTGTTCACCAAATTAGGATTATTAAAAGTAGTTATTTTTCTTAGTAAATAAAGAATCAATTCTATAATATGAAAAACAGTAATTTTGGTTTTATTTCCAAAAGTTGTACAAGCTAATTTTTTTCAAAGTAAAAAATGTATCCCTGTTGAAATATTTTATTTTTGCCTGAAAGGACTTACTAGGAAGCATGGTGCAGCACATTTGGCCAAGAAAGGGTTATGTATCAGCACAAATATTAATGTTCAGTAAATTAAAACTATTAAAGAAACAGATTAAAAATGCTAAATTATCAGTCTTCGTGACTTAGAAGAGTAAAGGGCAAATAGCAAGACTGCACATTCAAAAGTTAGAAGCAGAATGAAGAGCAGCAATTTGTATACTTTAATATTAAAGTATGTAGAGACCCTGATTAGACTTTTTGTGCTAGGTGACATATAAATATAAGTAGACAGGTAAACACAGTCTCTAATATACTGAGAAGGGTGTAGAAGAAACTTCCATATAAAAAGAGATAGGCAAGTGAGGAGCTGGGGCTCTGTTCCATCCACATTACTACCTAACAGCACTAGTGAAGCAGGAAACAGAAGATTATGAGTCCTATCGGTTCGGGCATAGTGGATATCCCACCTACAGAAGTCCTGATTGACAGTACCTGCTTTATTGCCTCATTGGCCCAAGAACGCTATTTAAGGCCAAGGGTAAACATCTTGAAGCTCTCTGTGCAACTACT